CCTTGGGGTGTGCCTTTTCAGACAAGTGAATTGGTGACGGACTGGAATCATCATACTGCCTGGGTCAGATTCATGTTGACTGAATCAAGTTGACCCAGTTTTTATCCCCCAAATAGTCAATTTCGAGTATAATCGTAACATTGACACGGAGAACGCGTCATTACGAGATTGAACGTGTTTTATTTCAAATCCCTCCGCTGCGGGGCATGTTTTTTTAATGACGTGGAAAATGACGGTAGTATTTTAGCAAAGGCTAATTGATAAAAATAATTTAAGCACAGTCACTCTACTAGGAGTCACTCTACTAGGACGGTTAGGAAGCTCTATTGGTTAAAGGTGTGAACGAGCAGCTTCTGAGAACCTATGCTGGTCTCAAAACTATGACGTATTTGTCATTGGAATGCACTATTTTTCACCATTATTTATTGCGTTCGATGTTGCTCGAGAAGACCCTCGAAAAGACCGTGAACTTTTTTAAATTGTGCTTTATTTTTACATCAAACTACAATCTCAACTGAACTGTGACTAGGAGTGATATTGTATTTTTCAGATGAGCATTCTTTTGCAATCTTGAAGATGCTTTACTCGAGAAAAACGGTGTTTTGTTGACAGTCTCTTTGTCTTGATCTCTAACAGTCTTTCGGTCCGTAAAATAAACCCCTCACTCAGTTTAGAAACAATTTTATCGCTAAAAACATTGATGTCTGCAAACCTTTACAATATTCCTTTGTCCATTCTCGTATTTTTTGTGTGTTTTTAGAGTCACTTTATGGCGAAGTTTTGCATGTTTTCGTCTATGGAGGTGGTCGCCGTGTTGCTTTATTGCATAGTTTTCATAGGAGGTAATTGGACAAAAGAGATTTTTGATTGTCGTGCTTTCATATCCCTCCATTCGCTTTATTTGACGACTGACACAAATCCCGTTCAACATGTTTTGATTCAGTCGAGACAGGGGCGACTTTTGGGGGAAATTCACTAATATAGTATTCTATTAACTATTTATAATTTCAGAATGCCATACAAGACAGCAAGATTTTCTCGCGAAAAACGTGTATATACAAAGCATGTTCATTTCCGCATTTGAGACTGCTCTTCGTTGAAAGGTCAAAGTGCCATGTATTGCAATGCTTTGTGGGGGAAAATGACGCAACTCTCGCACTGTCTCATGATTTATCGCGTGTTTTCCGTCGCCTGTTTAATGCTAATGACTTCTTAACTCGTTAACACCTCTCTTGTTTCAATGTTTATGGAGACAAGGGTGGGTACAATAGAATGACGCGGCGCTTCCTAACCGTCCTAGTAGAGTGACTGTGGTTTAAGTCAGTGAATTGACTGATAGTGCCGGGGTCAACAGAATGTCGAGTCATGTTATCAGTATCCCATACACGCAGGTCGAAATTCACGCTTTCAACTTGAAACTCGATATCCCTCAGGCTGTTTGTGAGTGTTCATGTTTTAGATAACATAAATATACCAACATCTGTTGTTTATCATCTACGTGGGAGGTCTATTTCACGTTGGGAACACTTAGACTAGACACGCCTTACATTTAATCTTGTGATTGAGTTCAGACTGGCATTCACAA